TAGTCCCTCAGTTGAACTAGCCAAATACCAAGTGCTCAATAGGCATGCACCACTGCATATAAACTATTTATTTAAAAAATAATAATGATGCCCTTCAACAGATGAATAGATAAAGAAGATGTGGTCCATATATACAATGGAATATTACTCAGCCATCAGAAAGGATAAATACCCAACTTTTACATCAACATGGATGGGACTGGAGGAGATTATGCTAAGTGAAATAAGCCAAGCAGAGAAAGTCAATTATCCTATGGTTTCACTTATTTGTGGAACATAAGGAATAGCATGGAGGACATTAGAAGAAGGAAGGGAAAAATGAAGGGTGGGGGGGACATCAGAGGGAGAGATGAACCATGAGAGACTATGGACTCTGAGAAAAAACAGGGTTTTAGAGGGGAGGGGGTTGGGGGGATGGGTTAGCCCAGTGATGGGTATTAAGGAGGGCATGTACTGCATGGAGCACTGGGTGTTATACGAAAACAATGGATCGTGGATCACCACGTCAAAAACTAATGATGTATTGTATGGTGACTAACATAACGTAATAAAAAAAACAAATAAATAAAAATAATGGTGAGATCCACACATGTAGATTCCTGATGCCTTTGCAATTTCTTCGCTTTTAAATCTTAGCAATATTTTTGTATCTTCAGAATACTGAAGTCTTCACAGTAGTGACTGGGTGAATGGAATTATTTGACGGCATTGTTATTGACATTTCCCACCTACCTCCTCTGTGACTTTCCTACCAGTTACAAACTTCAAGGCATAGTCCTCTCAGCCTTTTTTCTGAGTCACCAATGACAGAATACCTGGGAAAGGAGGTTTAGTCATTGACTTGCATCTGTCGTTACACAACTACAGTTGCACAGGAACAATACTAATAAAGTTTTTTTTTTCCAAAGATGTGGAAAATATGGTTTTAGGACTTCAATTATAAGTCTCATAAAAGCATAAACGTAGAGGAGGAAACTGAGGTGCAGAAAGAGAAAATAACCAGCAAGTGTTTGTCAGACTCCAAACTAGAGTCTATATTTCCCAATTAAATTACACACACCATTTTCTCTTCAAAAAGTCACCCCTACTTTCTCCAGTCTCTCTCTTTTTTTAAAAAAGATTTTATTTATTTATTTATTTGTCAGAGAAAGAGAGAAAGAGCACAAGCAGAGGGAAAAGCAGGCTCCCCACTGAGCAAGGAGCCCAATTCAGGATTCAATCACAGAACTCCAGGATCATGACCTGAGCCGAAGGCAGACGCTTAACTGACTGAGTCACCCGGGCGTCCCTCCAGTCTCTCTTTTTTTAAGTTTTTATTTAAATTCCAGGTAGTTAACATAGTGTTATATTAGTTTCAGGTGTGCAATATAGTGATTCAACACTTTCAAACATCAGCCAGTGCGTGACAAGTGCACGCTTTAATCCCCATCACCTATTCAACCCTTCCTCCCACCTCCCTGATGGTAACCAACAGTGTGTTCTCTATAGTTAAGAGTCTGTTTCTTGGTTTCCCACCCTCTTTCTTTTTTTTCCCCTTTGCTCATTTGTTTTGTTTCTTAAATTCCACCTATGAGTGAAATCATATGGTATTTGTCTTTCTCTGACCGACATATTTCACTTAGCATAATACTCTCTAGCTCCAACGATGTCATTTCAAATGGTGAGATTCCATTTTTTTTTATGGCTGGGTAATACTCCATTGTATAATTATGTTTATTTTATAAAGCCTATTTTCCCTCTCCTGACCATTATTCTGAAACAATGAATATGTTATAATTTCTAGGGTTTAATATGCAACAAAATGTTTCCAAACTGTAATGATGGCATAAAAATTATCATCAAACATTTATTGAGCACCATTATGTTTAAGAGACAAAGTTTTTTCATTACTATTTTGGGGACATTTATGGATTTCTTTAATATGTTTACTATATTCAAATTCCACTTAATTTAATTCCCAGAGAATGTCAAACTACATTTGCTTGCACTGATTATATATCTTTACCTATATCTGTCTTTCCATCCATCCATCTATCTCCCTGCCTTCAAGAAACTTACCTCTAGAAGCAGAGTGCAGTATTTCATTTTTCCCTTCCATTATAGATGACTGTTTCTCTAAAAGCTATAATAAAGATATGCACAGAATATATTGACTAGTAAAGGCTATCTCAACTAGGAAGGCTGCACAACACAGCTGTCAATTCTTTTGAGATTTGAAAGCAGAGTAGGATTTCAAAAGAAAATCCATATTTTGAAAAGCCGAGTATATGCATTTTTTTTTTTAAAGATTTTATTTATTTGACAGAGAGAGACACAGCGAGAGAGGGAACACAAGCAGGGGGAGTGGGAGAGGGAGAAGCAGGCTTCCCGCGGAGCAGGGAGCCCGATGCGGGGCCTGATCCCAGGACCCTGGGATCATGACCTGAGCCGAAGGCAGAGGCTTAACGACGGAGCCACCCAGGCACCCCTATGCATTTTTTTTAAAGATAGCCCTGCATCACCATACCAACCCTGGAACAGGGGTTCTCAACTTTGGCTGCCCATTGAAAGCACCTGGGGAGCTTTCAAAATAGACATGCCAGAGTCCCTGCCCTTGAGATCATGATTTGATTGATCTCAGGAGAGGCCTGGTCATAGGGATTTTAAAAGCTCTCCAGGTGGTTCTCATGAGCAACCAAGGTTGAGAACCATTGCCTTAGATGATAGTCAAGAGATAGGTGAGGAAAAAAATGGTTGTTTTACAATGCTGTTATAAAAATCTCCTATGCATAAAGTAAGTTACATGTGAGACTTGATACTAATTTGATAGAATCCATTTTTATATGGCTGAAGGAGAAATAAAATAAATTTACTGCCTTATGTAAGAGACGAATAAGATACAAATAAAGATACAAAAAGATATGTATAAAGATACATATGTAATCTTAATTTATCTTCACAGCAACCTATTTATACCAACATGTCTGTCTATTCCCCACATAAGAATTATACATATGTACACGAATGTGTGTATAGATACCAAAGTATAGGATTCTTAAATGTAAACCTTACATTAATAAACATTTTTCCAAGGCAAATATTATCATTTTCTTTTTAAGTGGAAAGAGAAGTGGTTATGCCATAGCTACAATGTTCTGACATACCCTGGGTTAACATGAAGGACAGAGCTTCAAGTATCCCACCAGATTACCGCCTATTGTAATAACATTCTTATCTCCAAATCATAGTGTTCGCACGGGTAGAATGCTGTTTAGAATCCATTCACAAACACCACTTAATCCAGGAGTAACAATGGTAAAGCAGCAAGGGACAGAACGTAATTCAAAGGGTTGGAAAACTAAGGCTCCTGAGGTAATTCCTTTAAATTTTCTCTGAATAAGCTACGGTGGGCATTATAAGACCCTTGTGTTCTGGCCCATGCTCCCTCTTTAGCTTAATTTCCTGCCACCATGCTCCTTACTCACTGCTCTCAAAGCACACTGGGATCCTTCACACTCTTTGAAAACAACACACTCTTTTTCACCCCAGGCATTTCACACTGTTCTCTTTGGGATGTCACCAGCTTGGAGAAGTTGCACCTGACTGCTTTAATCTAAACAGGCCACTCCTGTTTATTTTCATGCTCTGATTTTTTTTTTCCTGTGAATTTATTCCAAGTAGTAATTATATTTTTATATCTCCCAAATATAAGCCTCATGAGGGTAGGAAGCTAGTGTGTTTTGTTTACTACGTTGTATCAGGCACCTACAATCAATGGATTCACAGTATCACCCACAGTTGTTAAATGAGTGAAATAAGTGAATGAAGAAACACAGCTCTGACATATGTGTAATACAGAAAACCAATCTGGCAATTGAAATAGAACTTCCATGAGTAGAGCTTTGGCCAACTGTTTATAGATTATTAGGAATTTGTAGAGCAAGGCAAGTTCAGTTTCTCTTTCAGCTGTGACCAAAAGATTCAATTAGAAAATAAATTATTAAAAGAACAGAAGGTAATTAAAAGATCCCTGGCCAAAAATAGTTAATATTGAATGATTTTATCAAACAGGGAAAATTGCAGGTTCTGTCATTAGAAGAAAATAGAATTCTTGTAAATTATTCAAAAGGAACAAGACAGTAACATGTGAAATTGGATATGAAATTGAGAAATGACTAGTTTTTTGTAATGGTGATATTGTTTGTTTTAAAATAAATATCAAAATTGAGGGGTAAATTAATCTGATTCCTGGCCACAATGGCATTCCTGGGTCTTAAGTAAAAATGTGATGGGATTGATTTATAACCTCCACGATACACTCTCATAAATAGTTCTTTCTATAGCCCTGTCTCATGCCTCTGCATTTGTGATATGAATAATTTGAACTGTAAAAGTGTGATAACAGAAGACAGTTGTGAAGCAATGGTACATCTGTTGTAAAATAAGGATGTCACACATCATGAGGGTAGATCAAGAGGCATGATCTTCATGATATGTGAAAAGACATTAAGTGTGGAAATGATGTTAATTACTTTCTAAATGTCATTTATTCAGTGTGTTCATGCTATGTTAGCAAAAGAAGTATCTATTATCTCCTAATGGTTACTGGGACAAATAAATACCATATTGCTGCAGTAATTAAATCCCTTTAATAGGAAAGTGTTTGGTTCTGTTAAATTTATTTTTACATATTCAAGTTTTAAATGGGTTAAAGGTACAGTGATCTGGGTAATAGAGGCAATGTTAATCTATGCTTTCTAGAGTGTGTCTCGGTTCAGTTATGTAAATAGTATAAATGATAGATGTATAAAGAAAGGAAGCCAGAGTGAATAGGTATCGAAAGTCAATACAGAAGTTGCATTCATAGCGTGCCTTTGTTTTTCATGGATTACCATTTGTAATTCGGACCTGTGAAAGCAAATATTTCATGATATGCTCCTGCACGGATTTTCTGATATATCTACTTAAACCATGGGATTTATTTAAATCATGTATGTCTTTATTAACATCAGGTACATATTTAAAGCTTTTGTGAGATTTATTGTGCCGTGTTTGCAATGCCAGAGGAAGACTCTGAACTCCCTGCAGCTTGGCCGTCTCTGCTTTTACCAATCACCAGGTACGTAAGAAACTACATGAAGAGTTGGAAGAAGTAACACATTTCTTAAGAATGCTGTGTTTCCTGGATCGCTTTATTATTTTGTAATGTCAGTTTTACAATGACAAACCAGACCTGTTAGGAATTAAAATGAGGTCACTCCTTGGAAGGAAATATTTACCAAGCTCTTACTACATCCAAGGAACTTGGTTGGATTGTGGGGAGAGGAAGAATGTGAGGAGAATAAGGATAAAACTGTTAATTTGATGTGTAAGCGCATATCTATACATGAAAAAGTAAATGTATTACTATAAGTATGACATACTTAGAAGACATAAAAAGAATGTTGGCTTTTATGAAATGTTACTTTAACATTGTTTCGAAAAGTATGTTTTGTGGAATGCTAATCCTCGGAAATGCCTTGACCCATATTAAATAATTAATACATGGTTTTGATTAAATTATGGGCTGAATATTTTAAGAAAGTGTTCCATTATCAATGTATATCAAATCCCCTTTGTAGTGATTCAAGATGCACATTATTGTAGGACTCTCAACAACCTCTCACAGACTAAATAAACTTATTCAATGATGTTTGTCACATTTCCTCAACTTTTTGAGTGTTATGAATATTTCCACTTATTTTAGGTCAAATAACAAGCAGTACGTATATATCTCCTGCAACTTATTTTGAGACATACTGCAATGATTATTTAACTTATAGGTATTAGCACTTTTGCAGTAAAATGCCCGATGTGCATATTATCAGTGAGCAGGAGCGAGACAGAGGGGAGAGCATAAAAACTGTGTCCACCAGCCTCTGTTCCCTGTGAGCAGCTCTTGGGCCCTTGGAAGTGGGTCAAACCAGAGCCGGCACCTCAGACCACAGCCCCTGGACGAGCCAACAGGTCTCTTCCTCAGAACGACCGGGGGTGTGCAGCTGGGGGTCTGCCCCGGGAGGGGTAGTCTGCCAAGAACTGTATTTGGCAGACTACCCAGGAGCTCAGGCCCCCCTGGCCTCCACAGTCAGGCATCAAGCTGTGAAACCTGGGCTGTAGATGTGTGCATAGAAGCTCCCCTCTGGGAGATACTGGCGATTGGGAACGAGGCAGAGGAACACTGCAAAAATGGCACCTGCTGAAAAAAGAAATTAAAAGGAAAAACAAAAAAAGATTAAAAAGATAAAAAAAAAAGAAAAAGATGATACCCTCCAGCTTCAGCAAGGCTAAGAAAAAGTGTGAAGATAGCATCTGATGGCTAGAGCATAATAAAGATGGAACCCACTGTGGTGTGGGGGGAGTGGGGATAAAAGTTGGCATCTGCTGCCCCACAAGACTGAGGGACAGTGTCTACCAGCCTCAGTCCCTGGAGAATATCCCATCATGCCCCTGCCTCTCGGTCTGATGCTTTAAAAATAGCATTGAGCCTCTTTCACATAAAGTCTGTGTACCTTTCAAAGACTGCTTCTGCTCAGGGCCCTGGAGCAGGTGAGTCTGCAAGAGCCCTTTGAGAGTCATTTCTCCCTTTGCTACAGCCCTGCAGGTCTTCTGGATGCAGGCCCTGTTAGTTTTCAAAACTAGATATTTTGGGGGCTCATCTCTCAGGCGAAAGTATAAAAGTTGGGGTGTCTGATGTTGGAGTATGAACCCTTTGCTCCTGGGGGAGAAGGTCCAGGTTTTGAGTTCTCTCCTGATTGTGGGTCAGCTTGCAGGGTAGGGAGTGTTTGGGGAGAGTGTGTCTCTGCCTTTCCTACCTGCTTCCATGTGTTGTTTCTTTTCTTTTTTTTTGCTCATTTCCCAGATCTGAAGGAATTGTTCCACTGGTTTTTTTAGGATTTTTTTTTTTTTTTTTTAGAGGAAATTGTTCCACAGGTAGCTGTAGATTCAGTGTGTCTGTGGGAGGAGGTGAGTGCAGGATCTTCCTACATCACCATCTTAAACTGGCTCTTGAGTATTCTTATATGTACTAGTTTGGGTTCCTGAGAAATGGACAACAGGACAGGATTAGACATGCAACAGATTGATTGGGGGTGGGAGTTGGAGAAGGTGGGTAGAATTTTCAGAATAAATTGCAGAGAGACAGGAGAGTAATTGTGTCAGGAAAAATCTCAGACTGCCTCACAGTTTTAAAAAAGTTTTAGCCAAGTCACTGGGGAGTCCTCAAGCTAAAATCAGTCATTGAAGGAGTTTATCATCAGGTAATTCCTTAGTAACCCCACCATGCTCTATCACTGGCTTAGAACAGCCCACATGTAGTTTAGTCTTGGTGTAAATATGATGGAGAATAGAGAGGGACCTTCATGTCTGCAATGAACAGCACATTTTCATGACTGTCATACTATACATCGATCTTTGTTTTCTCTAGGTTTGTTCCTATATGTCCAGATCCCTAATGTAATTTTTTAATTGCTAAATAAAGGATATAGGCATTTTTTTAAGGCCCTTCATAAATGTTTCCAAATGGTGCACCATCTAGGGGCAAAGTTGGTTGTGTTCATACTTATGTCAATTAAATGCACTTTCTTATACACTTACACCTTATACACTTGTCATCATTGGATGGTATCATTTTTATTAATTTTAAATCTTCATGAGTTTGAGATTCACAAGGTGATATTCGGACTTGATTGCAAAGCTGTGTTTTTGGACTGCTTTTGGCATTGCTTAGGGCACAGTGGAAACAGAAACTCCGTCCTTGTGTTGGTAGCATGTGGGCCCAGGGTTCCCAGTCTTTTATGATAGGGTACTTGCCTTTCCCTGTTGCCCAGCTAGGCTTAATGCCAGCCCTGTTCTTTGATTGCACTGGCTTCGGCTCCTCCCATTCACTCGTTCGTGCACTTGGTACTGTGCTGAGGCAGTGATAGGTGAGCATATGGAGGATCTTGCCTTTGGAGGATTGCACACAGCAACAGCAGCAGGACTGCTGGTGGGGAAGCAGCATCTTGTTTGTTAAAGTCAACCCTCTTCCCACTGAAGCAGCCCCAGGCAGAGGGTCTACACAGCTGAGGATGTCAGAACACATGGGGTGTCTCAGACCTTCACCAAGACTGGCATTTCAGGCAGAAAGGCAAACTTTGCCTAGGGGATATCACAGCAGAGTTTGATAGTTCCTGGTAATTAATCAGCTGCTTGAATGAAGGCATCAGGCTGTATCAGGAAGAGTGAATAAGGACAGAACTTTATATGGGTATAGAGGAAAATAGAATTCTTCGCAGCAAAAACGATACTATGCTGCAATATCCTCTCCAGAGGAATGGGTCCCTGTATATCCGGAGAAAATCCAAGCACTTTCCACAGCTTTGTCACTAGCTTTAGATGTAACTTTGGGCGAAGCTGCATCTTAGTTTCCTTTACTGTAAAATGAAGCGGCTGAAAATGGGATCCCTAAGAATCCTTACAGATTTAGTATTCTGGGGACCCAATCTCATCTCCCATCCCCTTCTCCCTGGTGCCTCTTTCTTTCTGAACCGCCCAAACTTAGGATCATTTGAATTCTGTCTCTTGTATCTCTTCACCTAGGAAAGCTTTGATAGGTTTATGAGTTGGCTTCAGCTGCCATCACAAAATACCAGAGATTTGGGGGGCTTAAATAACAGATATTTATCTCTCATAGTACTGGAGGCTGAGAAGTCCAAAATCACGGTGCTAGCAGTGTTGGTATCAATCTGAAATTGCTTCCCTTAGCTTGTAGACAGCAGCCTACCTATGGTGGTCTCATTGTGGAGAGAGAGTTCTGATCTCTTCTTCTTACAAAGACACTAATCCTACCAGGTTAGAGCCCCACTCTTAAGATCTCATTTAATCTTAGTTACCTCATTTTTTTTTAAATTTTTATTTATTTATTTTTATTTTTTTAAAGATTTTATTTATTTATTTTACAGAGAGAGAGAGAGAGCACATGAGAGGGGGGAGGGTCAGAGGGAGAAGCAGGCTCCCTGCCGAGCAGGGAGCCCGATGCGGGACTCGATTCAGGGACTCCAGGATCATGACCTGAGCCGAAGGCAGTCGCTTAACCAACTGAGCCACCCAGGAGCCCCTCTTAGTTACCTCTTAAAAATCCTATTGCCAAATGTAGTCACCTCGGGGATTAGGGCCTCATTGGTACATGAATTTGGGATGTGGGCCATAATCAAATCCATAACAATAGGGTTGTGATCATTAAAGAGCTATCAGAAGCGTCATTCAGTTATGGGAACTGTGTCTCGCTCACACCCCAAACATCATGCTTTTTCCTGGCTCTTGTCTTCAGGATATTCCGTTTCTCTAAAATGTGTTTTCCAAAGCTTTTCTTTTCCCTAACTTGTAAAGTCCTACTTACCTTTTTTTTTTTTTAACATTTTGTTTATTTGAGAGAGAGTGAGGGAGGGAGAGAGCAAGCACAATGTTGGGGGGGTGCAGAGGAAGTGGGAGAGAGAGAAGCAGATTCTCTGCTGAATAGGGAGCCCGATGTAGTGCTTGATCCCAGGACTCTGAGATCATTACCTGAGCACAAGGCAGATGCTTAACTGACTGAGCTACCCTAGTGCCCCTCCTACTTACCTTTTAAAAGTCAAACAAAACTTCTCTCTGGAATTCTGTCTTAAATCCATCACCTTTTAGGGTCTCTCACATTTTTCCTGTATTTTCCTACATTAGTTTGTATATATTTTATAGTGACATGTATTCCCTTCTCTGGAGATAATGCCATCCCCTTCCTTTCTCTTAAATTATTTATTTAAATGTAATTACTGTGACAGTTGAGATAATGCTTCGCTCGACTTCCTTCTGGGATAGAGGAAGTTGTGATTTTTGTTGTTTTGGGATGAATAAGCCTGCCTCTTATGACAAGAGACAGTGTCAACCACTTAATGTAAATGAATTAAGCTGAATACATTTTTGTGTATGTAAATCATCACCCCTAAAATAATTCACTATGACTAATGTTGGCATTTCTGTATCTGGGTTTTCAGTTGTAGCTGATAACAGTAACCTGGACAAAATAGGGTAGTAGAGATTTTAGATCATCTTGCTAGGATTTATGGCCTATCAAACAATTTGGGTTTAGTGTTATTTGTTTGTTTGTTTTTGAGAGAAATAATTTTATTACTTTTCTTTAATGACTATGGATCCATTCAGATTTTAAAGATATTTTTGAATCTGTGTGCATAAGAGAAAATGAATAAAACATTTCTAGAAAAAATATACATTTTTAAAATGATTAGCAAAAGGTTATGTTTAGAAATCTATGAGTAACAAAGATCGTCCATATATTTAGTGTCCTTTTTTTAAAAAATAATGTTCAGTTCTGCTCTTGCTATTGCTCTCTTTCATCCTTGATAAATTTAGCAGGGGCTTTCCCATCTTTTAGCTTTTTTAAGGAATCAGTTTTAGGTTTAGTTGATTATCTTCAGTGTTTTGTTTTGTTTTGTTTTAATTTAAGTCAGTTTCATATTTATTCTTTCCTTCCTACCTTTTATGGATTCACTCGGTGGTTATTTAATTTTTAATAGAATGTTTGATAGAACGTATGAGTCTATGTCACAAGTCTGATCTTGCTTTCCCCTGCCTCCATCCCTACCACACCCCATGTAGGACAGGTTAGAATCTCAGGTGGTGGGTGGTCATTAACTAGGGGGAAATGAAGATTTGTTAAAGTAGTGTTCTTACAGCACTCCATGAAGCCTTTAGAGAAGGAGAGCAAATTATTCAAATATGCCATTTGTTCACCATCTCAGATTTCCTTGGTGTTTATATTGGATTTTATAAGGGGAGTAATTTGCACAATACCAGTTTTGCAAATGGAAAAATTGAGGTTGAGAGGGCTTAATTGATATTTATGAATTATGTCAAAAGTAAATAAAAAACAGAAGTAAAACCAGTGAATCACTTGAGTAGTAATTCGAAGAATTTTATCGTGCACACACTCAAAAGATGGTTTGCAAACATGGAGCACAAACCAAAACATGGAATGAGGTGAAGAGGGATATTGTTATAAAGCAACTTACATAGTACACAGGCAGTGTTTATTCTTTCCAGGGATTGGTTACAATGTTAGAATTTTCTTAAAGGAAAGATAATTGGTGAATTGTTACTTCATATCATTTTTGGGAACTATTTAAGTTTTGTTTATGATTTTCAGAGGCATAAGCAAGAAGTGACCCAGGTCAAGTTAGCCTCATTTGTCTTGAAAAATAAGCTAAATTAAGCTTTGCTTGATGACTAAACTGCTTGTCTGCTCAGGGTATTTTCAAGTCTGATCTCTGTTTGTGTTTGATTTTAACAGTTCACACAATTAGGAAGTGATGATGTTATGGTTCAAACAGTGTAAAAAAAGCACTCACTGAATATGAAAAAAAGAAATGGAAGCTAGGTATAACACAGTGTTTCAGGGTAAGCTGGGAGAAGAATAAGAGACAAACAATAAATCCAGACATGGAGTAATTAGGAACAGAGTCCTAAATAGGACTAAACAGGTGGAGCTAGAGGGTCTAGGATAATTGCCTTGCACAAGGTTATAATGTCCAAAGCCCCATGAGGTAAGTACATGGGTCATTTGAGGTTAGAGCCTTGGAGTATTGCCTAGTTACTGTGACATTGATTTACTAAATTGTTTGTATTTACCAAAATTGACGGTTCACTGAATTGTCTTTGTAAGCTGACTTTGACTTCAATTTTGAAATGCCCAGAAAGTAATAATGGGAAAACAAACACAGACAAATATATGTTTCCTAGATTGTACTACTCAGATATGTTTGCCTAAATGTGAGGTCTGAGATGGGTTCTTTACTTTGAGATTCTAAAATAGGCTGTCTAGAATGACATCATCCCACCAGGAACATCTTCTTCAGAACTTTTGTGGTTCTAAACATATGTAGCATATATAGAACAGAGAACAAATAGATTTCTAGATTCCACACATTGTATGCATACATACACATTCATACACACACATCTGTTTCTTGGCCTGGCCCAGGAATTTATTTCCCATGTGCTCCATTCTCTGGCTTTCCAGTGGTTCGTTTTATGATATTATATTCTTTCACACATGAATGATTTGAAAGACATAAGTAGCAATCTGCCTGCTGTGAATTGACTTCTAACTCCCTTCTTTTTTTTTTTTAAGATTTTATTTATTCATTTGAGACACAGAGATACACAGAGAGAGAGAGCATGAGCAGGGAGAGAGGCAGAGGGAGAGGGAGAAGCAGGCTCCCCGCTGAGCCAGGAGCCCGATGTGGGGCTTGATCCCAGGACCCTGGGATCATGACCTGAGCCGAAGGCAGACGCTTAACCATCTGAGCCACCCAGGCGCCCCCTAACTCCCTTCTTTCTTAATGTCCATGCATTTGAGCCTCCATAACCAAGTGCCAAGAAAGAGGTTTTCACTGCTTGGTATTTACACTCTATCTGCATTTCCACTCTACCCCACCCTCAAAGAAAACATTTGGACTTAGTTCAGAGTTCTGAAAGAATATTTGCATTGTAGATTCCCTTTTAACATTTGCAGTGAAAATAATGAGAGACAACTCATTCCCTAATGCTCCCTTTACAGAGTATTTGTGTAAAATTAATTAGAAAAGAATTAATATTGTATATGCTCCACTTATAGACCCAAATATTTTCTTGGAATCGATTTGATGTCATGTTTTCTCCCCCCAGAATATCGTCAGCATGATGCAAATATTTATTTCATTTTCATTTATTTGTATTAAGAAAATGGGCTTTTTACTTTTGTGCTTATAGATCTTGATGATTACCCCTATCAAAAAACCTGGCCATGGTATTTCTTTATAAAGAAATAAAACATGCATTTTATACATAGGAAACCCTAGAGAGACAAATCAGACATGGTCCCTGACCTCAGAGAGGTTATGGTCTAATATAGAAGAAGGTTATTGAATACGTAATTGTAGGTAAGAATATCCAGAATATGCCACACAGCTATATAACTTACACTTTTACTCTAGTCTGTGGCAGCATTGAGGACTTTTAGAGAAAATGACCTTAATATTAAGACCTGACAGGGCGCCTGGATGGCTCAGTCCTTAAGTGTCTGCCTTCGGCTCAGATCATGATCCCAGAGTCCTGGGATCGAGTCCCGCATCGGCTCCTTGCTCAGCAGAGAAACTGCTTCTCCCTCTCCCTCTCCCCCTGCTTGTGTTCCCTCTCTCGCTGTGTCTCTCTCTGTCAATAAATAAATAAATAATCTAAAAAAAAAAAAATTAAGACCTGACAGATGAGTAAGCTCTCCCTACCTTCCCTAAAAGAAAGGATAGGCTATGCAGATCAGGCAAGTATAATTGCTAGCCCTGCAGGCAAGCACGTGATGTGACCTCCTGCCATCTTGACTAAAGAGTGGTCATTTGTAAAAGAATAGACGATGTGTTTTATGGTTTCCCCAATCCAGTGCAGTGAGAAGGCTGAAACATGCTAGAGTTGGGATGGAAAATCTACAGTGTGGCTTTTCTTTTTCTTTTCTTTTCTTTCTTTCTTTCTTTTTTTTTTATTAGATATACCGTTAAGAGCAAATTACAGTATTTCATTATTCATGAGAATGATGAAATAAATTTATTGTAAGAAAGTAAGATAGTAAGGTAAGTCAGGAATCTTATTGCTTCCCTGTTACACATACTGGTTAGTGATTTCAGTTAAATACATGCCAAATTATGGAAACAGCCCCACTATTCATCATTTGATGAATGGATAAAAATGTGGTATATGTGTATGTGTGTGTGTGTATAATAAAATAGTACTCAGCCATAAAAAGAATGAAATCTTGCCATTTGAAACAACATGGATTGAGCTAGTGAGTATTATGCTAAGTGAAATAAGCCAGTCAGAAAAAGACAAATACCATATGATTTCACTCATATGTGGAATTTAAGAAACAAAACAAATGAGCAAAGAGGGGAAAAAAGAGAGAGAGGCAAACCAAGAAACAGACTCTTACTTATAGAGAACAAACTGATGGTTACTAGAAAGGAGGTGGGTGAGAAATGGGGGAAACAAGTGATGAGCACAGGGTGATGTATGGAAGTGTTGAATCACTATATTGTACACCTGAAACTAATATTATACTGTATGTTAACTGGAATTTAAATAAAAACTTAAAAAAAATAAACACTTGACAAACATTTTTTTCAAGTACAAAATGTGTAGTAAAATTGCATATTCCAGAATTTTGGGTGGGTCAAATGGATCATAGAAATTGATATGGCAGGAGTGAGGGAGAGGACTAGTCAGGAGGAGAGTACAGCAGGTATTGCCTTATAGATATTTAAGAAATTTCATTTGCTGGTTTCTTTACTGTTAACTTCCCTAACTCTTCTTCACTAAATTCCATTATTGCTCTGCTCTGGGGGGAAAGGGGGTTTTTGGGCATCTAAATGATGCTCTTACATGTCTCTAAGTAGCTTGGAGAATGGATAAGATAATAAACTTGGAAATGGAGGGATTATCTCAATATTCAAAAATGAGGGAAAGGTCAGTTTCACAAAGAATAAATCAGTGAGGTTACTATGAATTTGTATAATTTGTATCAATATCTATTAACAGGGCATTTAAAGGATGGCTGACAACAATTAGGACTCTTCGATTCCAGGTAACTAATACCCAACGTGTCCAAGTTTAAGCCCTAAGAAAATGCATAGACTTCTGTATCTGAGAAGAAGCTGGAAAAAAAAAAATCACAGAATCAAAGCATGTACTAAAGAAACTGGAGCCCTAGGAATGGAAGTGAAGTGAGTACCTCAAAGATTTTGTCTTCATCTATTTTCCATCATTGTTTCTCTCTTACTAACTTCATTCTGCAGACATTCTGCTTTCTCCTTATCCAGAAAAGATGGCTACTGTCAGGTCTAGAGTTCCATTCTCCTGGTTAAATAATCTCCCAATGAAAAGGGAAAACATTTTTTCTTCAATCATGTAAATACCAGGGAAGTGCTCAGATTCCATACTGGGTCAGATACCCACTTGTATGCATCAGGAGCTCTTGAGAAATGGGATGTAACCGATGGGTCAGGTAGATTTTAAAGGTTCAGAGGTTGGACTCAAAAGTGTTTAGAGAGAATGCTTTCCAGAAGGAAAAAAAAAAAAAAGCTACCAAAGTGCAGTGCATTATAATAGGCGGTATGAGCTACTTGCAAATCAGTGATTTTTTTTCCTTTTTAAGGAAATATGCATGTCACAGTGCTATTTAAGGGTGAGTGTGCAATTCTTCCTGTAGAGGGAGCTCAAGTTATCCTCTGACTTCACCTCTGCTCTGTCAAGACATTCGATTAGACTTGTGACATTACAGAGACTCCAAATGTAACGGTTAGATGGAAATTATATCCAAGCAGGACAACAGACAGGAGGAAACTAGAGATTAACACAAAAAATAGAATAAAAGAAAAATTTAAAAATGAAATTTTAATAGATTATCTAAAAAACACTTTCTGTAAAACCAGCTTGAGGCTTGAAACATTTGTGTTTCAAACATTGAAAGTGAGGCACCTGGGTGGCTCAGTCGTTAAGCATCTGCCTTCAGCTCAGGTCATGGTCCCAGGGTCCTGGGATTGAGCCCCGCATTGAGCCCCACATCGGGCTCCCTGCTCAGCGGGAAGCCTGCTTCTCCCTCTCCCACTCCCCCTGCTTGTGTTCCCTCTCTCGCTGTGACTCTCTCTGTCAAATAAATAAATAAACCTTAAAAAAAAAAATTGAATTTATAATCACCATATTACATAAATTGTATATATGATTCTGTATATAATTTATTTTATGTCATTAACATGAATAGTATGAAAATAAAACCAACAAAAACTCAGAACAATTTTAATTATAGAGTTGTAAAAATACCAAATAAAACACCAGAAAATTTAATACAATTGTCAAAATATTAACCCTACATTGTTAAGGGAGGTGAATACAGGAATATAGGAATATTTTAATATTAGTTTATTAATCTCTTAGAGCAAATCAATACTTCATTGGCTAATAAATAAGATAATTTGACTGAATAATATAATGGGATCTAAGAGTAAATTTCCCTTCCTCACAAATAGTAGTTTCTTCCCTTAGATTTCATTTATAAAAGGATAAACAAGGTTAATCTTAAATCAATAGCCAAAATAACACTTAAGTTAATAAAATATATCCTGGAATTTTAATGTTTGAGGACAAATAGGTTTCCTTTAATAAGTTGATTTCTTTTTTTTTTTTTTAAAGATTTATTTATTTATTTGACAGAGCGAGAATGAGAGAGAGAGAGTACATGAGAGATGGGAGGGTTAGAGGGAGAAGCAGGCTCCTTGCTGAGCAGGGAGCCCGATGCGGGACTCGATTCAGGGACTCCAGGATCATGACCTGAGCCGAAGGCAGTCGCTTAACCAACTGAGCCACCCAGGCGCCCCAAGTTGATTTCTTTTTAAAACCTCTTTTCCTTGGGAAGGGGGTAAGGCATATGCATACAATATATTAAAACTAGGGTATTTCAGGGGGCTTCAAACCCCAGAAATTGAAAGCAATATTTGAGGTGCCCCTCAATGCAGTCAAGAGGCATTACTTTATTTAAAATAGAGAATAAATGTCACAATGATTGGGTATCAGACATCCTTAAAAGTATTTTAGAAATTCTGACCATTTCAACAAGATGTAGAGTTCATTCATGCGTTCAATCATTTGCCTGTTGAGTTGTCTATTTAATCATTTTGAATTTTGTTTTCGTACAGGAATTAGGTTACATACTAGAAAATACAGGTGATAATACTCAAAAAATAATTATAGGTGACATTCTTCAAAGGAATCTTTAATCATTTTCAAATAAATTTTTGTTCAGTAAATTAATCAGGGATAAGTTCAATTAAAAAAAAATTCCTATTTTTCTGCCTAGTTTACAACGCATGAAAAATATCCAGAATATCAATGACATGAATTATCTAAGAATAATACTGACAAAAACTGAGTAGCAGAATATGTGTTAAAGTGCAGATTTTGCCAAGGGACAGAAAAGAACACATGAAGAAGTGGAAAGAACTTGAATCTATCTGAAGGGGATATCCAGCATCATCAAGACACACACACACACATTACATATATTTATCTATATAAATACATATATACATATATAATATGTGTATTTATGTATTAATTTGTGAAACTTCAAAATCTCAATCTTTGGAAAGCTTTGGAAATTAAAATATTACAAAAAATAGAATCTTTTGAACAGAAATATTGAGTATAGTCTAAATAAGAAGACTAAAGATTATTTTCCTATCAGCTGTAAGAACATACTATAAAGTGAAAATTAGGGAAGCCTGGGTGGCTCAGTAAGTTAAGTGTCTGCCTTCAGCTCAGGTCATGATCCCAGGGAACTGGGATCAAGCCCCGCTTTCAGCAGGGAGCTTGCTTCTCCCTCTGCCTGCCGCTCCCCCCTGCTTGTGCTCTCTCTGTCTCTCTCTCTCTGACAAATAAATAAAATCTTAAAAAAAATAAAATGAAAATTATTTTTAAAATGTGGACATTATACGTGAAACCAAACTGATCAGTAGGACAAAACAAATAGAACTTTGGCCTACTTGGAAGATACAGAAACATATTTTTTAAAAAGCTGGGGGAGATCTATCATAATCAGTGAGAATATTGATAGCTAATGCAGCAAATGATATTTAAAAATTCTACAACTTAGGGGTAACTTAGACATCAAGGTATATTACTCCTTCATATTATGTATCAATAATGCTTTAACTGATAAAAAAATGTTTATATGTGAAAAAGATGACATCTACAAAAACAAGTACAGATAAACACACCCACATTTGGGGACAATAATAATAATTGATAATAGTTATGATGAAATTCTTAAGAAACGTATTTGGGTAGAAAGTTAAATGTTAAAAAATGTCACATTAACAGGAAACCACAGAAATGTAAAAATGCAAAAATAATGACAAAGAAATAATGCCCTAATTTGAAGCACTATAAAATTTAATAAAAATTTTTCCAGTAGTAAAATAAAAAAAGGATATTAATGGAAGAATTTCTAAATGGGTAATACAAATGGTCAATAAACTTGTGAAATACATAATAAACTTTATACTGATGCAAATGAAAGCACAATATGCCATTTCTTACTCATTTAACTAGCACCTGATAAATGGAGATTTTAGAGAGAAACAGCCTCACTAACATTTTGCTGGTAGAAATGTGAATTGATTTCATTTCTCTAGAAATCCCCTTGGTAATGTAAATCAGAAGACCTAAAGTATTCTAAAATTTGACCCAATACATTCTTGTTTAGTAATCTATCAGAGAAATGATCATATATGTGAATAAATATTTGATTTTAATAACAGATATAGTGTTTAAAAATTGAAATAACATACATGTTTAAGGGGGAAATTGGCAAATAAATTATAATAAGCCTTATAACAATATTTTAAAACAACTAAAAATCTCATTTTAAAGCATTTAAAATAACAGGTCAATGTGAGGCACCTGGCTGGCTTGGTAGAGTATGCAACTCTTGATCTTGGGGTTTGTGAGTTCAAACCCCACATTGGGCATAGAGATTTCATTAAAAAAAATTAAACTACAAGGAGTTTAAAAAATAAGAAAATAAATAATATGTCAATGCAAAAGTTATATATGCATACATATAGATGTGTGTATATATATACACAAAGGATATGTAGATATACAGAAAATATATGATTGTTTATAGTACACATTTAACAGAATGTCATCAGTGGCTATGTCTGGGTTTTTTGAACATAGATTTTTCTTCTCTACTTTTTACTTTTGTTATAAAGTTTTTTTAACTTTTCCCATTGGTTTTAAACTTGAGACCTATTACTTTCTGAGTGTCTAGCATTTCCATGACAGAGCTTCACTGTCTCTATGGGGACATGGAAACCGAAATCACATAGAAATATTTGTTCAACATACATACTCTTCTGACACAACAGCACACTTTCCAGTAGAAGAGGAACTTAAACAAAACAAAACAAAACAACAACTTTTTTTGTCCAGTCATCTTTCTCCTTCCTCTACCCATTTCAATGAGTTCTATCGGTGAGCATGACTTTGTATGATAGGATATGGAATTTATAACATAGGTGAACGATGGGAAAGAGAAGGAGAGACAAGAGTAGAGAAGCAGGAAGAAATAGAGGTAGAAAAAGATAAGGTCTGCCTAAGCTAGAAATTCAAGGAAAATTTTATATGTTGAATAATGTTTAAGCAGGAGAGTAGCTTGAGCACTGCTGGATAGAGAGATAATTTGAGTATAAAAGGAAGTGTATGATGAAGTGCTGCTTTGGGATATGAATGGGATCCCCTTTAATATTCCCTAAGAGATGCAAGGAATATTTGGAACCTTTCTGTTATTACTTTTATTTGGTGGACTCTATGTTTTTGTTGTTTTTTTTTTTAAGATTTTATTTATTTATTTGAGAGAGAATGAGAGACAGAGAGCACGAGAGGGAAGAGGGCAGAGGGAGAAGCAGACCCCCTGCTGAGCAGGGAGCCCGATGTGGGACTCGATCCCGGGACTCCAGGATCATGACCTGAGCTGAAGGCAGTTGCTTAACCAACTGAGCCACCCAGGCGCCCCGGTGGACTCTATGTTTAACACAATACCATGTTGTTCAAGTATTAGGACAAATGTGAAACTGAGATTTCTTAGGGTTACAGATATTTATCTGAGGGAAATTTCTATATAGACTTTCAAAAAAAGTCCATGCTCTTAGGTGAGAACAACATG